CACAGAAGATGGATAAACCAGTAATTGCAGTATAGATTAAGGACTCTAGTGGATCTTGAACTTTTTCTTTGGACCAACCTCGAGTAGGGAACGTTCTCCATTAAAGGCTGAGCTCTGATCTCTCCCTCATTTTTCATTTCCTTTGATAGTTCCCCGTTTCCCTCTCTGCCTTTTTTTTTTTTTTAAGTACAGTCCAGAACAGCTGGTTCCAAGGTAGAACTAAGTGTTTTTATTTCACAAAGAAATTTCAAGGCTATATTTTAAGCAAAATTAAAAGTAAATTCTCACTTTGGTGGGTTACATGAGAGGGATTTAGAACCTGGATACATCATCTCCAGTGTCCTCTGCCATCATTACCCTTTGGTCTCAAGATCTTACCTCTTGTCAAGGGATCAATCTCTGACTGACACACTTTAAAAATACCTTCTTTCAACCATTGAGCCAATGCTGAGCTATAGCTGTGAGTTCTCTTTTAGCTTGCAAAACTTAGTAGCCTAAAGTAACAAATGTTTATTACCTCACAATTGCTCTGAGTCAGGTGCTAGATGCCTCTGGTTCTGAGTCTCTGGTGAGGTTGCAGTTAGGCTGTTAGGTGGGGCCACGGCCTCATTGCAGGCTTGACTGGGAAGGATACACTTCCAAGTTCATTTATGCGGTTGTGAGCAAGATTCAGTTCCTCTTGGGACATTGGACTGAAGACTTCTGCTCTTTCCTGGCTGTTTTTTGTTGGTCACTTCTTTCCTATGTATGTCTAGTTCCAAGCTATGCATGTCCAGCAGGCTGCTCTTAACATGTCAGCTGACTTCCCTCAGAGCAAGTGTGTAAGAGAGTGAGAGAGAGAGCCCAAGATAGAAGTCAAGGCCTTTCTGTAACCTAATCTCAGATGTCAGGCCATCACTTTGGCCAAATTGTATTTGTTAGAAGCAAGTCACTAATCCAGCCCAGGCCCACGGGGAGAGGATTATAAACCTTGACTGCCTGGACAGTCCATTTCTGATTTACTGTAAAGAGGACTTCTCTGTCCTAAGTCATGAGATATTATAGCCTTTGCATGCTGACTCAAAGCATCTAAAATTCCACAGATATTTATCTTTGCATTAAAATTTTTTTTTAATGTTTATTTGTTTTGAAAGAGAGAGAGAAAGAGAGAGAGAGAGTCAGAGCACAAGTTGGGGAGGGGCAGAGAGAGAGACACAGAATCTAAAGCAGGCTCCAGGCTCCTAGCTGTCAGCACAGAGCCTGACGCAAGACTAGAACTCACTGTGAGATCATGACCTAAGCTGAAGTCAGATGCCTAAGGACTGAGCCACCCAGGCACCCCATCTTTGCCCTTTTTATTTTGTTTATTCATTTTAGCTTTGAACAACTTCTTTATCAACAGGTTGGATTCAGTCAAACTAGATCTCCCTTTAGATTATCCTATAGGAAGTCATAGTATACATTTATATATCAATAAAAATAATCATCTTCCTAAAGAAGTCTCTACTGTCTTTTCAAAAAAGTATGCAAAGTACTTAAGGCTTCATATTCATGTTGTTTTCATGTGCCTTGTCTTCCTCTTGTTTGTTTGTTGCTTCTTATTTCCCAATTACTCTTGGAAGATTGAGGACATTTTGTCACACCACAAAACCTTTATCACCCAGGGTCACTTTGGGTATATCATTTTTCAGGACATGTGATTCTGGGAGAACTCTACAAATTCAGAATTGTATTATTATTTATGTATTAGTGCATAACTAAAGATGTGCTGATCAAATCAAAACAAGGGAATTGCTGCCATGGAAAAATATACATATTCCATTTCTATTCCATGCTCTGCACCAGTAGGACTACCTCTAATAGAAGA